TAGTACATAAAATAAGCTTTAATTTGATATATGTTTAAAGGACGCAGTCTTTCCGGAACATTTTCAAAAATTAAGTTGAAAAAGTTAGTTTTTGTAAAAAAGTTGCAATTTTAAATCCCCCCCCATGAGCAGGTTAAGTGTTAAATTTTCAAAAAAATTATATCAAATGAAAGGAAAATATCTAAGGTTTTAGTTTAAAAAAAAATTATGTTGATTTGTTGATTTTTGAAAAAGTTATGGAAGTTTTAAGAAAAAAAAGTGAAAAAAATGACAAAATTTGTCGATTTTTAAATTTGTAATTTTTTTGGATATTTCCCCCATTTGCGGGGAACGAGGGAAAATTTTTAAATTTTTAAGGGTAATGTCTTCAACTAGATACAATTTGTGATCTTTTGACGTATTGTTAAAAGAAATCGGTCCAGTGAGAGCTGAGAAAAAGTAGTGACAGACACAAAAAAAAAAAAAAATAAACACATCATGGTAAAATTAATACCTTCTCAGCTTCGCATCGAAGCTAAAACTAGTGATGGGCATTTTCGAATATTTTATCGAATAGTTTATTTTTAGCATAAACTATTCGAATAATTTATCGAATAGTTCTAGAAACTATTCGAATGGTTTTAAAAAATATTCGATTAGTTCTACCTAAAATTTTTATTGAGTACACTTAATTATAATAAGAAGATAATTGACAAATACTTAAAATAAATTATTATACAATTAATAATAGTAAAAATTAGTGATATTCAAATATTTTAAACTATGAAATTTATTTATTGAAACTATTCAAATTGTGTTTATACAACTGAATAGTTTTTAAAACTATTTGAATATATTGTGTAACTATCGAATATTTTTACTATTCGAATAGTTTTTGAATGACTATCGAATAGTTCGATAGTTACCATTCGATATTTCCCATCACTAAAAAAAAACGCATGGTATAATAAAATACCTATTCAGCTTCTCATTTCAGTACACTTTTTTTTAGATAAAATTAATAGCGCTATCTAGTTATCCACTAAATAGCAGTTTAATTTTTTTTAACGTGTATTTGTGTACTGATCTCTTAATGAGAGTTTGGATGGCTCTGTAGTCGATAGGTGTACCACACCTGTTGATAAAACACACATTTCATCTTAGTTGACATTTGCACTAGTAAAATTTCTTCGTGACTTTCTATTAATTCTTTCCCAATGACATAATTTTTAAATGTTTTTATAATACCCTTTAATAATTAATTGTTATTACTGGAAATATCTTGTTCATTTTGTCTCATCAACTATTTATTAATTATTATTATCCATAGAAAAAGTTAATAATTCCAACTATTATCTAGTAATTTTTTTTAACTTTGGTATGCTTTACTTAGAAAATATTTATTTAATTTAACTGCCATGACACCGACACATAATGATACTAAAAGTCCAACTACTGAAGGTTTACCAGCTAAATTTGTTCATTCAATGAGAACTCTGTTTGATATATTAGATGATAAACGAACGGGTTTTGTTAAATTTTCGGGTAATTATTTATAAATATTAAATGTCAGAGTAAATTAAATACTTTATAATCATTAATGTTTGTTTCATATTTTGTTTAGAAATTGAAACACGTTGGCAAGATGATGGAACCAAAGGATTACCAAAAGGAGTTTTAGATAGTCTTCGCAAAGTAACTCCACCTAATGGTCTATTATCTTTTGATAGATTCTGTACAGGTTTAAAAATGTGCTTACTACGTAACCAAATGGAAAATGGTTTTAGGGCAAATGACCCTTTGAGACCTCCTTCTGCTCCTCTTTTAGATGTAGATGTTAAGCCAAATATTCAATGGACTACAGGAAATATGGCTGCAATTAGACCTACTCAACAAAGAACCTTAAGTATGCCTCAATTGGCATTAGAGCGTAATAATAATAATATAAATAAAGAAGTCATTCAACAACAACCTAAATCTACATCATCACTATTTGGTCCTCCAAAACCTCCTAGAACTGCAGCAGGATTAGAACGTGGTGTACAATTAGCTTCCAATGATCGTAACATTGATAAAGCTGAAATAAGAACAGCATTACAAAATTGGCAGTTGGGAATATTATTAAATGATCAAAGTAGCTCAAGAAGTGAAAAACAATCAAGTAATTAATATATAGTAATATATAAATAAGTTGTTACTTATTTAGTTAATACCCATTATTTGTTTTATTTAAGATGAACAAACTTATAAAAGAATTAATCAGAGACGGAGGGAGCCTAGACGACATACATTACAAAGTGGAATTGATTATAACTTGGTAAATTTATTATCTATTATTACATTATATATTGATATGTGTGCATAAATATCAATATTGAATTATAATAAATAATATTATTTACAAATAACCTATAATTGTTATGTGAAAATTTAAAAAATTTCATCTAAAGACTGATAAATCTTTAACTATTTATTTATAATAATTTATAAGTATTTAAGTAAATTTTTAGGTACTCTTGCAGTGTCATATAAGTTTTATAAGTTATTTGTTTGCTAGGACATATACAATAAGTTAATATAATAAATTCAGAACAACTAAGATATTTTTACTGCAATATATAATAAAAATATATAATTGAATATTTACTGGTTAGTTGAAGAGAATGAAACAGATAGAACAAGAAAAAGAAGTTCTTGTGATTGGTCTTCAAGCAGTAGATAGAGCAAGAGATTGGTATCACAAACAAATAACTGTAGTACAAGAAAAGATGAAGTACCTTGGAAGAACAAATTTACATACTGTAATTAATTTTTAAATTTTAATACTAATGATAATAATTATCTTACAATTTTAATATTAATATTATTTAATAATTTAGCAAGATCAATGGACTGAAGCACAACAAGAACGTATTGAGTTACAAAGAGCTAGAGTATTAGAAGTTAATAGACATTTAGCAGCACTAACTGATGGAGGTGAAGGATGGAGTGGTTTGCCATTGCACATGAATTTAGCTGTGCATTCAGCAAATAGTTCCGGGCTTAATGTAAATCAAAATCCTCAAGTAATAGTTTCTTTAAAACATCGAAATCATGTTCTGACTGAGGTAATAATATATATTAGCAAATTATTTATTATTGAATGAAATTAATTGTTTTATCTGCATTATTGTAGGAACTTGGTCAAAAAAATGAAAGAATAACAATATTAGAAAGAGAAAAAGCAACACTTATTAGGGAACTATTTCAATCAAGATCTCAAGTTCCACAGAAAAGAATGGATATAAAATCTGGTAATCAACCATATGCACCTTAGAGTATTAATATTACTAATATAATTGCATTGGTAATTAGACAAAAAATTTTTTTTCTTTTAATCATCAAGTCATTTTAATAATTCATATTATCAAGTAAATAGTTTGTTTGTTAACATTTTATTTTAAAAGGATTATTTCTAAAACTATTACTGTAATAATGTCAATATTAAATAAATAACAACTTATATCAAGTTTCATTGTCGTCATAATATTTGAGTATTTTATAATAATTAAAAATAAGTTTTTTTGACATTTTTATGTAACACTATGCTAACTATAGTAAATTTAATTATTATTTAATGGTATATTTTTTATTTGGGATTTTTCTTACTTAGTCATAGTATGTATGAAATACTATATTAATTGGTAAAACAATTCAATTATTGTACACCTTTGATTATTACTGTGCAATATTTTTATATCCGTCCATGTTTCAATTTTTTATTTTTATATTGTTTAAATTGACTGTAAACTCAATACTTTAGGAAGATTTGTATCATTTACTTTTGCTAATATACAAATTTTCAAGTTATATTTTTTGATGATACATTATTTATTAAAAAGAATTTTTTTAATTAAAAAATATTAAAAATTAATCTAATAATTATTATTATTATTTTATTCTATCTAGTTTAACGTTGTTAAAAATGATTGTATGTTTATATTATTTATTATTCTTTTATTTAATTTTAAATTACATATTATATTTATTGTTAATATTAACTAATTAATTTGTGCCATACGTTTTATTACAATTTAGTCTGACAAGTTAAAGTTGATTTTTATTTACTACACTTATGTTATTGGGATAATGCAATATTTTATAAATATTTATATACTTTATTTGCATGTATTCATTTTATTTAAATGTTGATTATTATTATGTTGTTTTTTAAAAGTACCACTCATTAAAATGTTATAATGTTAATTACTAAATAATTTTAATCATTAATCATATATTTTTTATTGTCAATCAATTTTGTTTAATATAATACTGATTAATAGTATATGCAATAAATTTCAATATAATGTTATATATTTTTAAAATGGACAGTATACAATATAAAGTTACAAGTTTATAAGTATATTTTTTCAAATAAAATATACTACATATAATATTATTACTTGCTATTTCTTTGTTTTTTATTGGATTAAGTGTATTAACAATCTAATTAAAAATAATAATTTTTTGGCTATAAATTTTACCTTTCTCTGGAGATTTAAAGTAATTATTATTATAAAACAAATGAATACACAATTTTAATTAAATAAAAAATATTACCAGGTTTGAATCAAGAGACTTCACATATAAGTTAATGATTTTTTTTAATAATTCATAAAAATGGGCACAAAAATTGTGACTAAAAATTTATTTTTTTATTTGTTATGGGCCTAAGTATTCAATTCTGTAATATAAAAATTTTCATAAGTTTTAATTTGTTTTTACCTAATAGTGGTTTATTTGTTTACACAATATTTAAGTATTATATAATTATTTATTAAGTGTTCAACAATTTAATTTCATATAGTGTTGAATTCTGAATTTTTTTTCTAGAAAAGGTTCTAAGCATTGGTTTATTTATTATTAAATGAAACATCAAGTCCATTTTTGAAAATGGCTATATTATTGTCATCCAGAGATAGTGGCTCCAACCTCCTGAAGAATAATTAGACACAACACTAATTCTACCTTAATAATCAATTTTAGCTCTTAAATGATTAATCAAGACACAGAAATACCCACTCTCTCAATTGTGATAGTTACCAGAGATGAAATCAGTCATAATTATGTTTTTATAATAAATATAGTTCCCTCAGTAAACTAAAAAAAATTAAAATTGATATTTTATAGATAACATAAATAACAATTTTTATTTGTTTATATTAAGATCATAATTATTATTTGAAATGTGTGTAAAAAAGGAAAACTTTGGATGAAACACATAATATATAACGTTAATAATGACAAAAATTATTAGTAAATAACTTGAACTATTACAAAAAAATTACCATAGATAATATTTTACCTAAAATGGATTAAACTGGTTAATTTTTTAATCCATCTTATATTGTCTACTTGGAATATTAACAGATATATAATATATCTTTATACATAGGTATATAATATTCATTCGCTACAAAATATTGATAAATGCTAATACTTGATAACATTGTATTATATTTTTGTTAGTCTCTATGGTAACCATATGAATTTTAGTATTCTACAGCAGAGAATAGGTTTAACTTTTTTCTAATTATCTACGATTCAGTATCAAAGTTAATTATTTTATTTTTTTAGTTTATTAAGAAGTTCCATTGTGTTAGTTCAAATCTAAGAAAAATTGCATATTACTCTCTGGTTCAATTATTGCTTCTTTCAACCATAAAAAAAAATAATTGAATAATGGCTCTTTTAATTTCTAAAATAATATTTTTCTGAATAAAATAATGTTATTAAATGCTTTAATGATTTTAATGCTAAAAAATGATTAATTTAAATTATTTCGAACATTATTTGAGAAATGTTACTAAAAAAAAAAACTATGGAAGTATTTTTATTTTTGTTTTTCACCACGTCTATAATTATTTATTATTGTCTTAATGTGTTCTGCATATTCCCAGATTTGTACAAATCATATGTATCGTTTGATTGTATTATACACGTTTTGATTACAACTTATGGTTTGTTTAATATTTTGACAAATTTCATTGTTATGACTTTTGTTGATTCATCAGTAATTGAACATAGAACAAGAAAATTAGAAAAAATCAAAACAGGTAAGATTCGTGATTACTACTATCCTAAGGTCACTAGTAAAATGTTTTAAATTTTATTATTACAGGAACAATCTTTTTTTTTTGATGATACTGTATAATTGAAAACTGAATTCTAACTGTGATAATATCATACCATTATTTTAATTACAGATTCAATTTACTGTAATATATGTCAATGTACTATGCCACCAAGAAGTTGGCATTGTGATGAATGTAATGTTTGCATTCTTACAAGAGATCATCACTGTTCATTTAGTACAACATGTATTGGTCATTACAATCGTCGATATTTTGTTTGGTTTTTGGCTTACTTAACTGTTGGAAGTATTTATGAGATAGTTTTGATTGGATATTACATTTATAAAAATATTCCTATTCAAATCTTTGATTTAATCTTTTTAGCCCCTGGAAATGTAATATTTTTTAAAATAACCAAAAGTCAAGTATTTGTTAGTCTTTTTATGTTAAACCTCATATCTGTTGTTATCTCATCTTTATTACTAAAGTATCATATTGAAAAATTATTGTATGGTCTTTTAAGTTATGAAAAAAAAAAAAATTATGATTACGGTTTAATTGTTAATTTAAAAATAGTTTTTGGTGAACGTTGGTTTATTACTTGGATATCTCCATTTATAGATTCTAGTTTACCTAACGATGGATTTACTTGGAAAATATTAGGTTGTCATGATAAAGTACATTAATTTTAAGTTAAATATTGAATTTTTTAGAATAGAACTAAAATTTTCTATGCATTATTAATTATGAACGTATGTAAACATTTGTATTATTTGTGATTTTATTATACAATATGAGACTATTTTGTTTATTTGCTAAGAAGGTAAAGACTAATAAATAATAGCAGTGTTAATTTTTTTTTGCTATTTATCTATTAAAGCAGGGATTTTGACTGAACCAAGACTCTGTTCCAGGAATAAACTAAATTATGTTAATATAATTTATTTTTATTTGTATGATTTGTACTATAAATAAAATTATTTTTCAAAATTGTCAAAAAAAAAAATTATTCAAGAACTTATAATTAAGAATCAAGTTTAACAAATTAAGTTTTATAACAAACCCAATCAAAAACGGCTCTGTTTAGTTTCACAGAGTTTGCTAAGTAACCAATATCTATCAAAGAATTAAGTGTTCTGATCACAAATCATGATAAGCATCTTATAAAATGTGCGCTGAAACTTTTTATTCATAAAACAATTTTAAAAATATGTAAAATAATCAAACTACTTAAAGATCATCCTACTTTTCAATACTTGGATAATAAATAAATCTCTATTTTCAGTTCTGAAACAATAGTTTCATTCATTTCAAGTCTTCTATGTTTTAAAGGGTACATATTGTTGATTTTATGGTTTGATTAGATGTCTTGTTATATAAATAATAAAATCCATTCTTTGAAAAAATACTTTCGTTTTGCTAATATTATGGTTAGTATTTTTGTTTTATTATTAAAGGGATATAAATATATAACTTGTTTTTGCTTTTTTGAAAAAAGAACAAAAATTAACTCCTACTGATTTTACCATGTACCCTTTCTATGGAGCTGGCATGGAGCAAAAGTATGTTAGTGCCTAAAATCATGTTAAGTAATTGCATTTTGTTTTTATATTCTATATGAAATCATGTTGACTAGTACATTTTGCGTAATCAAACTATCCTAATAAAATTGTTTAAAAATACGTTATACGATGTATTCGTTTACTACTTTTGTTTATTTTGTTTCTATGACATCAGGTTTACTTTTCTTAGTTTATACCATTATGATCTATCATGATATTTGGTCTACTCTAAAATATATATTTATACGATTTTTGTGGTATAATAAATTATCTAATTTTTGTCTTTACATTGTGAAACAATATAACATGTAGTTGATGCATAGTCAATAAATTAATCAGAATCAAATGTCAAAAATGAAGTAAAAATAGTAAGGATGATATTTTTTCACGTTATTAAATATTATAGAAAATAATCATGAAATAATAGTTAATTTTAATAAGTTGACTTTTTGTAAATTGGACATTTTCTAGTTAAAAGTAGATGATAAGGCCTCTAACCAAAAGTATGTACATTATTAGATATTCAGTGTGCTTTAATTTTGATGGTTATTTGTTAGTTTTTCTTTACAAATTAAATATCGTAATGTTTTGTGTAAAATATAATACATGAATATTATTTTTTTTAAACTGTTAAAATTTTAATATTTTAATCTACGCAGAAGTTGTTTGTTTTTATATTTTATATTGAATATAAATAAATAATGTGATGGCTTTAGTTTTTTTTGTATTAATATAATTGTATATAATAATCATAAAGAATTGGCATAATATGGTAGTTTTAAAAAGATCTAATTATCTATCATTAGGTTCAACAATATATTCAAAAATGATTCACTAGTTTGGACCGATGTTTTCCTCGCAAATATATTAACTCTTTAGTACGTATTTAATTAAAAAATTTTTCATTATATATAAGAAAGAAAAACCGCATACTATGATTAGCTTTTTATTTGGTATTTTTATAATTCTACAATTAATTAAACAATAAAAAGGTATTTAGTTTACTTCTGTTGAATTTTTTATGTTTATAATTATTCAAATTAAGAAAAATCTTCTTTAAACGAGTTAAAAAATTAATTTTTATTTACAGAGATAGATGTATTATATATTTTCAAGCTGTTAGCGAACCATAAATATTTTTAAAAATAAATTTTTATATCTGTTGTATATACTGCTAAAATATAATGTGGTATCGTATGATATATTCCCGTAAAACAACAGTTGTTTTTTATAAAACGTTCTAGAATGTTTTTTTTTATAAATTGGGTTAAAAATAATAAAACTAAATTATAAATTTTACAGAAACAATACGAAATATTTTTAAAAAGTTAGTAACAATATTTTTTGTCAATAAGCACAATTTAAAGATGTCTATTCAAATTTTTGAGTCCCTTTAATATATCCTTACGTAATATTTAGGAAAACAAATTATATTCATTAATAAGTATGTCTCTTATGTCTTGAAAAGTAATAATAAACGTTTGAAGGCTTAATGTGAACTATTATGTAAAATATGAATTAAAAATGTAAACACTTTTTGTAAAAGATATTTTTACGATGGCAACATCATAAAAATAATCGTTGATATATCAAATTCACAAAAAAAAAAATTAATGCAATGTTAACAATGATAATATACTTTACTGTTTACAAAAATCAAGGATAAGTTAAATAATATACAATATAAATAAATATTAAATATAAGATATTACTTTTATCTACAAATTATTTGACCAGATAGCAGGTATTTTAAATTTTATAATAAGGTAACATTCAATAATCAATTTCATAAAAATAAAAAATAATACTAGAATAATACTAGAATAATACACAAAATCTTTGGTAAATAAGTATGACATAATAAATGTCAGTTACAAATATCCAATAATGTTAATCAATTTTGCAACATGTATCATTATTTTATGCTCAATAATAACATATTTATATACTAAATTCTTAACAAATATTGATTTTTATCATTCATTAATACTTATTCAATCAATACATAAAACATTTTGAAAAATTATTTAAGATTTAGATTTTACATAAAAAGAAAATTATTTGCATTTCACAGTTAATGAATTTACTTGAAATGTTAACTAGTAAACCATTTTCAAAAATGTCAGTACTTGTCACATTATAAATTTTAATAATTTTGCTGAGGAATCAAAATGTAGGCATTTGAATTTATAGATAAATATTTCAATACAAGTGAATACTTTTTTAAAAGTGATTTTGAAGGAAATTAAGGTATTTAAATGTTTAACTATAAGTCTGGAATGTTTTTATTACTATAACCATAACTATTATGTTATTCAATAGTTTAACAAATACTGAGTTATCTCAAAATATGAATACACTTATCAATTGGATAGTAATATAGATAAGTGTTCTATATTTTTATTTAACATAGTATTTTGTTAAAAACTTATTATTAAAATCAATAATTATTATTATATATTATTTATTATTATTGCTATATTTTAATTTTAATAAATATTTGATAATACTTTATCACTATTGTTAAAATATTAAAAAAAAAAAAACTAATATATATATACATATAATACTAACATATTAAATTACAAATAAAAATATTAATGCAAATGTTTTGATAATTCATTCTTATCTAGTTCATTTATACATTAAATTGAAATTATAATTAGTAGTATTATTTACTTTTTGTAGAGCTTTACACCACTATTTTATGATTTTAGTTTGTTTTTAATTACAATGTATGCATAAACAAAAAATATTATATTATATCACAACCTTCTACAAATAAGTTTTTATATTTTTTGTTCATAAAAATAAATTAATAAATAGTTAAGCCATTGATTGAATTTTAGCTATATTACTGTGAAAAGTGAAAATGAATTAATTTTTGTACTCATTAAAAAATTTAGATAGATGAAAAACATTTATCTTATTTAAAATTTACTGGTTACTTTAAAATATGCGAGGGAACTGTGTGTGTTATAAAGTATTGAAATCTTTTTTAACTAATAATAAAATTTATCATTAAATATATAAAATCATTAAAAATATAATAAAACTAATTAAAATGATATATTATGGAATTACTATGTCAAAGTTACTGATTAGAAAAATATTACAATGATTTAATAATCAAATAAATAAATTGATTGATAAGTCCTGTAATTCATAGATTATGTGTAGAGGAGTTATATAATAAAAATTTGATCATGATTTACAAGCACAAAATCAGTAAATGCATTAATTGGCCCTATTGCAGCTAATGATAGTTGACTACTAGGACTACGTACTAAATTTGGACCAAATACTACAGCAAGGTTAGACGATGTCATTTTATTTAAATCGCACCTGTCCATTACCTAAAATTATAATGTATTTTCAGTCATCATATTCTAAAATTTTTATAGAAATTTAATATACTAACCTTTGATAAAAAATTGATCAAATATTTAAGTAAATGATAATTGTCAAGAGGTAATTTTTCTAGAATCAAGATTTTTACTTGTCTTGGTCGTTCTTCTTTGGGGAGAGCTAAAAAAAATGTATTATGGCTTAATATTTTAAATACTGCACAATATAAAATAATGTTTTAATTTAAAATAAAAGTATAATTATTGTGTTCTATGTTATTATTCTAATTTATTATAACAAAAGCCTTGAACCAAATTAATCTAATAAAAAATATTTCTATAAATTATAAATTCTATAACTTAAAATATTGTATATTAAAATTATTTTAATTACTTACATTGAAATTGAGTTATTTCATCAAACAAATCAAATGTCATTAAAGGTTCTTCTAGTTCTCTTAAAAATGTTTTTAATAAAACAGCTGCAAGATGTACATCATTCCCAAAGTCAACTAATTCACCAAGATTAATTCGGTTTTGCAAATCTCTGACTTGAATAACATTAGCAGATCGTCTGAATAAACCTTCTGTTTCTAAAGCTAATAATTGAAAAAAATAATTAATTAATATATATATATATATATAGAAATTATATTTTCTAGTTTAAATTTACCATCAGGTTGACTTAGATACTCAATACATTTTCGAACTACAGGAGGAATAATTTCATCATTATTATTTGCTTTAATAAATTGTAAAGAAACACCAAACTGTTGTGTAGCCAATGGTTCAGGTTTAACTTCAGCTTCTAGTTCCATATGTTGAGGCAAAACCTTACCTTTATTTAGTTTTCGCATTAATTGTTGATCATGCCTGTTGTAAAAATGTAAATAACAATAATTAAAAAGGTATATATTATTATAAATTACTTGTTTCTAAGTAATTTATAATAAGTCAAATCAAATTTCTTAAAAATAAGTAATATTTATCTATTGTTATTAGTTGGTAGAATTGAACTTATTTGTAAGATATATAATTTATTTAATTATTGATTAAATTACTTATGAAAGGTTTTTATTTAAAAAACATATAAAGAGTGTTCAATAAGTACTTTCTGTATAATTTATTTTATCATATTATATATTATATAGACTGTATTAAAATATTTATAGTAATATATATTTTGTTAGATTTCACAATGATTAATTTTATTTAAAATAGCAGTGCATAATTTCTATGGTAATATAAAAATTTAAAGTTGGGATCAAAAAAATTATTGCTTAGACTAGAAGAAATTAAAACACAATTGAAAGAAACATAATCACTGCTTAAATATTTCATAAATGTATATATTATTTTAATTATAACACTGTTTATTATAGATAGGGTATTTTATAAATTTGCACCCTTGTATTGTAGATGGTATGTAAGCAACTATTTTTGTCTCATTGTTGACTACTCAAACATAATGGTTTCCAAAAGATTAAATGATACAACTTACTCTAAAACAGAGAAAGGAATGTTTAATTGATCTAAGTCTAAATATTGTTTCAACTCTTGTAAATGATTAACATACATAATTTTTTTTCCAAATTTTGCACTAGAAAATTATATTATAGAAAAATTAGTACATTAATTATTTTATATAATTAAATTAAAATATATGTTGTAATATTTCAAAAGAACATATATCAATTTTTTTTACTTCTTCTGTTAAAATTTCATTAAAATTAAGATAGGATTAAAAATTTCTCAAACAGATAAACTTACAATAGTTCCAGGTTTAAAGTAAAAAAAAAAAAAAAAACTTAAATTGATTATGTTTTATCAGTTTTCATATACTTATGAATACAAAAATGATTTATTTTTCCAAAAGATCTAATAAAACTTAAATTATATCTATGCAGATTAGTAAGAAATTATATATTTTTAATTATAATTTAATAGCAATGGGTAATGTGTGATATTTTTACTGCATATTTTAGAAAATAAAGTTAAAGTTGGTGTGAGCATAATCATTGTAAATAAGTTAAGAAAAATCTAAATTCAATAAATTTTTTTTGACATATATACTTAAACCTGCTATTTCATAAAAAATATTTGTTTAATTTTAATATAATATCAAATATTACCTGATGACAGCTTTAAATAGTTGCCATACTACTTTAATAAAGCTTGTTGGATGTACTAAATATAGAGCTTTTAGATTTTTTTTATATTTTCTATCAAATGCTCGATATGCTTGCCACAGCCATGACAGTGTTGGTTTATTTTTACTAGTTAATCCATGATGAAAATAAACTAAGCTATAATCTTGTTCTACAAATTTATCCAATGTATACATTAAGTATCTAAAAATTATTTGAAAAATGAATAAAATTTAAGCTATATTAAGATTAAAATACTACAGTTAACATGAGAAAAAATGATTTTAAAATTTTATTACTTTCAAAATCAAAATTTTTTTATATTTTATAAAGGTAATACAGTTAAAAGTACAAATATAATTTATTAATGTGCTAATAATATTAAATTGAAGGATTGCAATTTAAAATATGATAAAAGGTCATATATTACCAAATTTATTTTGACTTTATTTCTTTAAATGAGATTGAAAGTAAATTTACTTAACTTATATTAAAGTACTTTCTATACATATATAGAGTGGTCCATGATGTTTTGTGAAATTAAGAACTTTTGATCCAGCAAATATTTTGCATTACTTTTTTTTTTTTAAATTTTTAAATTACGTTAAAAGCATATTTTTGCTTTGATGCAAAGCTGAAAAGGTATTAATTTTACTATGATTTTTATTTTTTTTGTGTCTGTGAACGCTCAATATCAGCTCTCACTGGACCGATTATTATGAACAATACGTCAAAAGATCACAAATCGTATCTAGTCGAAGATATTACCCTCAAAAATTGAAAAAAATTCCCTCGTTCCCCGTAAACGGGAGAAATACACCAAAAAATCGCTAATTTTCGACATTATTTCAATTTTTTTTACTTAAAACTGCCATAACTTTTTTAAAAATGATCAAATCAATATAATTTTTTCATGAGAAATAGTATTTATATACATCTTTCATTCAACATACTTTTTTTTTTAAATCGGACCATTTCCTTATATACAGGGGGAGGGTCAAATCTAAAAAATGCATGTAGAAAGTAGAATTTTTTCAACTTAACTTTTGAAAGTGTTCTGGAAAGTCTGACACTTTTCTATATATATCTTAAATTAAAGCTAATGTAATATTATATATAATGTAAGTTTCCTGACTGCATATTAATCCTAACGACACAATTTTTGTAATTCTCATTAAATTTCCGATTTAATGATGTCAATTTGAAACTTGAAAATTGAGCTAAAAGTTATGGTAATAAATAAATTTTTTTTTGGTTTTAAACTTTCACAAAAATCAACTTTAAAGGNAAATTTTTTTTTGGTTTTAAACTTTCACAAAAATCAACTTTTTATTAAAAATATAGGTTAAATATGTTATTTTTCTTATTTTTAATATATTAATAATCAAAATCTGTATTAATTTAAAACAATTTTTTTTTGTTCTTAATTATTTTTTTATACATAAATACTTATTTTTTAATAATAAGTAATAATATTAAAGCTTAGATGTGATAGAAAGTCTGATTGCACATTTGAAAACATCACGAAAAGTTGATTTAGAAAAGTATATTTCTGTATCTGATGAAAATTCCTTGTAGTCCAGTATATTAAACATATTAGTTTGTTATAAGTAACAAAAATTTTTTTTATTGTAAAGTATTGCATTAAATTAAGCCCTTTAAATTTTAAAAGTAAAGAAATCTATAACTACTTCATTAATTTTATAATATCTCCGTCAAAATTAAGTTATTAAATTATTGAAAATCAATTTTGTACTAAACTTAATTACTATTTATTTCTATATTATAATTATAAATAAAATAACTTATCAGGATAAAATTAAGGAAATAAGAGTTATTGTTGTTTTTAAAATAATCTACCAATTTATTAAAATTAAACACTATCTGCAGAATTGCATCAAAGTGTTTTTTATAATAAAGATTTTAATCACTGCCAGATATCATCTATACTTGTCCCAACTTTACCACGTCCATACTGTGCCGCAACCCCACTGTGCTTCCGTTTTTTATTAAAAATTTCTTTAAATACTATTTAAGCAAAGTGTAAGAATACATAAATTATTTAAAAAAAAAAAAAAGTATGCAAAATATTTAGTAGAGCAAAAGTTGTTACTAGATATGTGAAATATAAGCCATTCTGTATAAGGTTTCTTGAAAGCTTTGTATTTTTTTTTGGTACAAAATTTTTCTATTAGATCATTTTAAAATAAATTAGCTAACAATAGCAAATTATGGAATGTAGTAGGATTGACTTCAAATTTGTACCAGATATAAAAAATTAGTAGCCTTAGCTTTAGTGTGAGCTCACAAATGGGTGATCATAGTGAGATTTAACAATAACACAAAGCATTATGCACCAAGAGCAAAAGGCAATCGGAAATCACTTTATTTAAGTAATTGGATGAGTCTGAAGAAAAAAATGTATACATATTTATTTATAAAATAGAATTTTAACAGTTTATAACTGATCACAAAACAAACCTCAATAATCTAGGATGATCAACTTCTTTATTACAAGGTAATTTACAAGCTGAAACCACAATAATTTTACGTCCCACAGCATCGTCACCAACTACATCAACCACACCATATTTTGCAACATCGCTAAAATCTTCTTCTTCCTTTGACTAAAATAATTAAAATAAGATTAAACTTATTATTGCATTCAATTTATTTATTCCTATAAACTACTAGAAATATTTTTAATGGATTGTCAGTGTGTCGTTATAATTTATACAATAAATAAATGCAAGACTCATAGTTTTTAGTCAAAAACAACTTTAATGGCTAAACAGCATCCTTTTTTTTGCTAATTTCTTTTTTACAGGTTCCAATAAATTACCAGATTAGATCAGTTGGTTAGAAATAGTGATCTTGTTATTATGTTAAAAAATATTAAGATTTATCCCTTTTGATATCCTTATCTATTTTAAGATACGGATGACAATTTAGAAATTTTAAAGAAATCAGAAATAATAAAAATAGTTTTATTTTTGTAAACAAAACAAATCATTTAGAAAAAATTTAGCCATTCATGAACTTGATTATTTTATTACATTAAATCATGCTGAACTATGTTATGTATAAAACTAAAAGAAGCACAAACAAACTATACTTAAAGGTTAGCCAAGTCAATTAGTAGCATAAAAAACAGCCCAGTCAAGATCCACATCATGATTTTTATTAAACTAGTATTGATAAATTAAATACAAGTTCATTTTCTGTTTCAGCTTAAATCATTAGTAAATGAATAAAAAATTAATTGTTTTAAGAAAAAAAAAAAAAATGAAAATTTAGAATTTCAAAGAGACTTACATCATCAGCTTCCAATTCATCCATCAAATTTCCAGTAATTTTATTACTGAATGTGGTAATTCCCTCTACAAGTTGTGGAGCATTAACAAGTTCTTCTTCAAAATTTTCTTCTATAGTACCATCAGAAACAGGAGATTCCATGTAATCTAAAGTTCCTCCAGTTCCATTTAGATTAGCCAATGATTTTTCTAAATCTATAAAAATAAATCTTTTTTAATTTGATTTAGTAGAACTTTAGTAGGTTAAAAACCTAAGATAATTTATTTTGTTTCTCTACGAAATCTATACTGTCAGAAAGAAAAATTATAGAATACTCAAACAATTTTTCTATAATTTAAATTTATGATAACTTGATTTTTACAATATTTATTTTAATATCTAATTAAATTGTAAAAGAATGTCAAACCTGATCACTTTTATTGTATTTATTATTATAATAAAAATAAAATTTGTTCTATAAGTGTAATCAGAAAATTATAAAGGTTTTTCATATTAATATAAAAGATCTTAATTATTTTTAAAGAACAATTTTTAAATTATATGATGTATTTAATACATTCAAATACACATTAAATGAGTAATATACAGAAATATCAGACTTTTGAGAGAAGCTTTTTAAATAATAAATAGCTTTACCTATTTTGTATATAAATTGTATTAATTACAAATTTTAAACATGATTATTAATTACCAATATCTGCCGATGGACTTTGAAGTTCAGTATCATCAAATTCTAAATTTGGTTCATAATCATGATAATCCGAAAGACTAGGATAAGGTTCTTCATTATCATTCAATGTCACTAAAAATTAATACACAATGTTAATATATCTATATCAATATAGCAATAAAAATAATTGAGCACTAAATATAAAATTAAAGATTAATTTTATAAAATACATGGTTCGTTAATTCATATAATAAATAAGAAATTAAAATTTTTTCCATAAAACCATGAAATTAACTTTAGAAATAATTAAAAACATTTTTCATTTACATTAATAGAAGCGAGGATCAATAACTACTGTAAAATTAGTGCTACATTTCACTTTAAATAGAAAAATATACCAAAATAGAAGTTCCCAAAATTGTATAAAAAAAATATATTAAGTTAATAATAAGTACATACATATTATAATAATATTAAGCTAAAAAATACTTGTAAAAATATTTGCCAGAACTTGAAGCATATAGAAAATAATATTTACAGTAAAATTATTTTAAAAAATTAATACATAGATAATGAATTTTATTTTCTATTGATTTATAAATACTAACACCTTACTTAGTAAGTTAATATTTTGAAAATATTAAGTAGTAATTTAAATCAAATTACCTGGAAAATATTTACTGGAAGGTTGAACCCTAGGGTCCATGATGCAGTAGTTTATTAAAAGAGATTGCTCGTACTGAGCAATTTCTCAAGAACGTAAATACACTCTAAATTATCTCATACTGTTAATTGGACTGTGAATGTTAGGCGAAAAAATATTTGATAGTCGATACATAAAATAACTAAACAAACTAGACTGTTGAAAACCTGTAACTAATGGGTAGTGGAGCTTGAATTTTTTTTAGAGCGAAATAAATAGAACGAAAATAATGAAAACTACAGGAATGAATCATAGTTAGTCAACGCGATACTGTAACATAAAATTGTAAAGCAAAATATATATAATGTAAACATAAAACACCTGTTTTCCGCCATGGTTCGTTTTGTGATAACATTATATTTTGATAAAGAATTAGATAACATTAAAATTGTGTAATAAGAATCGACACGTCATATCAGTTACTTTATTTCCAGTAGTAGTAATATAAAATAAATTGTTGTTTTTAAATTAGAAATATATTTCTAAATAATGTTAGAATAAAGTATACTCTGTAAATATTTTTTGTATAAAATTTACTTGAGATAGTCTAATTAAAGTGTAACAAATTTTAATTGTTAAATTAAAATGAGTAAAAATTTAACAAATAAAACTCCTAGGATTCTTCAGGAGCTCATGATGCAACAAGATAACTCAGTAAATAACATTATTTTTCATTAATAATTTAAAAATAATTACTAAATATATTTCATAAATTAAAGAAATGTTTTGAGTGTGGAACACATAACCCACAATGGGCTTCTGTATCATATGGTATATGGATATGTCTAATGTGTTCTGGCAAGCATAGAGGTCTTGGCGTCCATCTTTCATTTGTGAGATCTATTACTATGGATGCTTGGAAAGACTTAGAACTTGAAAAAATGAGAGTGAGTAATGTTTAAACTATATAGTTAGGCGTTTAAGTTTTGATAAATATTTTGAGAGTTGAAATAAATATTTTTGTTGGCAACACACATTTATAAATTTGATTTATTAATTAAAGGTCTAATTTAATAAAATCTTTTGTGATAATTTTTCAACATTTTATAAAAATAGATATCTACAAGTTTAATTTTAATATATGTCTATAGGTGGGTGGTAATAAAAATGCTAAGGAATTTTTTGAATCTCAGTCTGACTGGAATAATTCAATGTCAATTGAACAAAAATACAATACTAAAGCAGCAGCATTGTATCGTGACAGGGTAACTAAAAAGTGTTTTATAAACCTGATAATTTGAAAAGCAATTTTTAAATTTATTTATTATTTATAGATTTTATGTTTAGCAAAAGGTCAAGTTTGGAATCCTTCCACATCATCTGCAAAAGATTATTTTGTTGATTCTACAAAAATGTAATAATAATAATTTAAAAAAAATTTAATCAGTTTTTTGTATTAAATATTTTTATTGAAATTTTTTTTGGTAGGAAAATTAGCCATCCACAAACGTATAGCTATAATGAATTACCTAATAACTACAACACCACAAATTCAGGGTATCAAAATGATGCTACATTAAGTCAAAATATTAAAGATGAAAAAGAAGCATATTTTGCTAGAAAACAGTATGAAAATGCTTCTAGACCAGAGTTAATAATTAAAAATTAAATTATTATATTGTAGTTTACTTCTCAATTCTTAAACATAATTATTAAATATTTTCAGTCATGTTCCTCCAAACCAAGGTGGTCGATATTCTGGATTTGGAAATACTATTGATCCTCCACCTAGAAGCCAATCTCAAGATCTTCTAGAAACTGCAGTATCATCATTTTCAAGTGTAATTTCAATATTAATTTAAATAATAATCATAGTTTATTATTTCCTATAAATTGTATAGGGTTGGTCTTTGTTTTCCTCATCAGCTTCCAAGATAGCCTCTCGTGCAACTCAGGGTGCCATAAAAATTGGTGGCATAGCTACACAAAAGGTATCAGATATAACCACTGACATTAGTTCAAAAGTAAGTTGCATGGAAATGCTGTATAGTTTAATTTTATTGAAATTATTCTTATTGTTTTTTATTAAAAAACTTCACTTTTTGCTGTAATGTGATGTTTAAATCATTAATTAATAATTAATTTCTTCATTTTAAAAATAAGAGGAGTTTAAATATTAGTTTAAAGTTTTTCATTTCAATTGTCTAAATATTAGAATATTAGATTTAAACTAAAAAAAATCTTTATAAAATAGTAGTTAGTTATTTTTTCATTAAATATTGGAATGTAAAATAATGAACTTTGTTTTTTTTAGTATCATAATTCTTATCTATCTTAATCTCCTTAAATATTGATACTTAAGCACAAAGGTTTTCATTTATGTAATTGGCATTTTGATAAACAATTAATTAGATTTTATCAATAAAAATTAAGATAATTAATATTTAGTTTGGTGTTTCTATTAAAATAAATAATTTTCATTTAACATAATATATTTTAAAACAATATTTTTAGCTTCGATGCGAAGCTAAAAAGGTATTGGTTTTACTATGATGTGGATTTTTTTTTTGTGTCTTACCACTTTTTCTCAGCTCATACCGAATCAATTTCTTTCAACGATACGTCAAAAGATCACAAATCGTATCTAGTCGAAGACATTATCCTCAAAAATTGAAAAAATTCCCTCGTTCCCCGTAAATGAGGGAAATCTCCAAAAAAAAATTACAAATTTAAAAATCGCTAATTTTAGATATATTTTTAATTTTTTAGCTTCGATGCGAAGCTGAGAAGGTATTGGTTTTACTAAGATGTGTTTTTTTTTTTTTTT